AATGTGACTTTGGTGGATGGCACATTCCTTTTTTTTTTTTTTTTTTCCTTTCTGAAAGCATAGTCAATTTGACAATACAAAGAGAACTATACCATGGGGTAAGTTGATAGAATGCTGAAAAATTGTGAGGTGGGAATTAAGAAAGAAAGGACAATGTAGCACTAGATAGCATCAGGAATGAATCCAGGAAGAGCTAAACAATGTAGTAAAAACAAATTCGGTGTTGGGGCGAACAGCAGTAACATTGCAATACATATTTCACCTTTTAGCACATAAACCAGCTGGATTTTCAAACATTTTGAAGACATTCTATGAAAATTCAACATATGCAATTCAGTCATGCTTCTTAGTTACTTATAATATACTTTCAATTTAGAAAGAATTAATAATAATACATACATAACAATAATACTCTGAAGCTATTATTTTTCTTTCATACTGATGTTCCCTCTCTTTAAATCATTTTGTGTAATCCCAATATTACATTTTATTTTTGGCTTTTCTCCTTTCTTTTGGCATGTGCTATGTAAAAGCTGTATTCGTTTTGAATAATAAAATATTTGCTTTTAAGTTTGTGTTACAAGAAAAAAATTACTACAATTTTAAGTCTTCCAAGCACAAGAAATCACTGATTTCACCCTGGAAGTTTTTTATAAATATTAGGAATAACAGACTTACATCCCAAAATCAAATGACAAATTCCTGGAACGTGGGCATGGGAGAACATAGGGAAAGCATGGGAGTGGGGGTTCTTCTCACTGTACTGTAAAGGCAGTACTTTTGAACAACTCTTAGTGAGTCAGAAATCCTGAGTAACAGCTGCAATTAAGGAAGATCGTCACTTTCACTCAAGGTTCAGGAGTGGGGGAGGAGATGAGGGACAAAGGAAAAGGAGGAGGATTCAGGGAAAGTATTGGAGAGATAGAGATGAAGGCAGGGCACATCCTGTGAAGATAATCCCTCCACAGTTATATGACATCACTCTCCTGCTTATATATATGGAATGGCCAGAGCATCTCTCCTAGTTCACTCACTTTCAAAGCCAGCTGAAGGCAAGAGAAAGCACTGAGAGAGCTCCTTTGCTGTTTTCTGACTTTTGTGGCTTGCTTGCCAGAAGGCTGAAAGATGATGGCAGCGATGAACATTCAGTTGGTGTGTGTGCTGCTCCTGGCTTTCAGCTCCTGGAGTCTGTGCACAGGTAAGCTCAGCTGCATTTCAAACTCCCTGAAGTGATTTCATCTGCAGTGTGTTGCTCCTTAGGTTAATGAATCCAGGGAGAAGTCTCTCTCTCTGTCTCTCTCTGTCTCTCTCTGTCTCTCTCTCTCTCTCTCTGTCTGTCTCTCTCTCTGAAACTGTAAATATTGAAATATTAATTTCCCTTTATTATTGTAAGAACTGAATGGTCTTTTTCCATTTATAAAATCTGCACAGCAGTAAAAGGGGTTTCAATGAAACACTGCGTATTCTCTTTTGGAACACAACCACTAAAAGAAAAAAATACAAGAGAGAAATGGAAGATGAAACTTTTAATATATGGTCAATATCTATTAGAGAATAGATGCAGTGCTTGTCAGCAGGCAGACATTAAACTCATGCCATTCATAGCATTTTGCTCTCACCTTTGGTCCTCCTCTCAGGAAGTAGTGACTTCTCACTCAGCTTCCTTTGTGATTGTCCTCAAATTATGTTTTCACTCTCCATATGTGTGTTCACTTACATGAAATAAAAATTAATGGACAAATGAATGAATCATTATATACAGACACTTGTTTCTAGACTAACATAAAATGTCCCAAGTCCATTTTGAAAATACATTTTATAGTCTTCCATTATAACAATCTCAAATGTATTAAAATAGTTGTTGCTTTTTTGAATGTCATTTAGGTTGAGACAAATTATAATTATAAAATTAATATTGTTGTTCTAATAGAAAACTTTAGTTTTAGAAGATCTGTCATATAACAGTTAAGGAAAACTAATGTATTATTAAATATGTAAATTTTTCCATGAAAATAAGATATTTAAAGGAAGAATGTGAAAGATTATGATGATTGCAATGTGCTTTAATTGCTACTTTAAATGTAATTAAAAATCTTCTCGGATAAATGCAACAAAACCACTTGACTTACATTTACACCTTTTATACTTTATAAGAAGGAATTATAGTGTTAATTTAAAATAATGCTATGATTTTTAAGATTAATATATCAGAATGGAATGCCATTTTCCTAAAAATGCTTTATTTATTTCATTATAATAGGATACTGTAAATCCTTTATCAGAATAATGCAAAGTTTTGAACAGCTATAATTTTACTGAATAGCTGCAGAACATTAAAGATATACTTAAAGTATCTAAAAATAAGTTATTAATTAAATGTGATGTATATTGGCTCGTGAAACTATTATTTTTCTGTGAAAAGTGCACATTTTAATAAATGATTAATAGAATTTGCCATTTCTTTTGAAAAAAATATGTTGTATCTCTAACAAATAGAGCAAAATCATCTCTAGGGTAATTCAGTTCTCAGTTATCAAATGGTTGCATCCAGTGGGATTCTGTTTTCAGTGACTGCAGAGTGAAAGGAAAATGCAGTGATTTTCAATTTTGCCTTGTTTTATCATAAGAGGCCAATGAATATTATAATATTATACAATCTTGTATTATTTTCTAAATTGTGTTTGTCTATAAAATACTCATTAATTGAATCTTGGGAATGATATTCTATAAGTAATCAGAGATGGGTCTTAAAAGTACTTTCAAAGTGTTGTCAGCTCTGCCTCTGCTTAAACTTTTTTTTTTACTTGCTTATGATAAAACTTCAACGTGTACATAATTCAAAATTTTTGTTTAAAATAAAAAATAATTCTTTCAGAGTGTTTTAGAAAATAACACTTCAAGTGAAAGAAATCTCAGTATCTTTTTCATTTTGAAATTACCAGTAAGCAATTGCATGTGATTCTATCTAAAAATAAAAACTGTTGTTTTCAATATGTTATTTATTAAATATAAAGATGCATATTTTCTATATGTATAAATTATTGCTGGTGAGAATAACTTAATTGGCCATATGTTATGAAGTCTGTATTAAACAGCAATATTTAGTTTACTGAGATTCAGAGATTAAAGAACTCAAATCAAGAATACTCTCTTAGAAAATAATCATATGCTTTTTTCTTACAAGTGCTTCTGCTACTCTGGTTGTCAACATAACATTAAGCTATTTTTTTTCCTTCTGAACACTATTTTAAAGAAAATACGTTGAGGTGACACTAAGCTTCTAAGACTAATTTGAAGTCAGTTTAAAATGCACCAGTTGCAATACAACGACATGATATATGGTTGCAGAGTAATCTTATGTTTTATTTTATTTAGATTCAGAAGAGGAAGTAAAAGCACTGGAAGCAGACTTACTGACCAACATGCATCCATCCAAGGTGGCGTTTCTTCTTTTATTGAGCCTATGTTGAAGAATATATGAATTTCCATTATAAATATGATGCCATTTTTTATGGTAATGTCAATGGCAGTAGTTATTTTCACTAAGAATAAAAAGCTCTTTGGGAGTTATTTCTTGTTTGGGGGAAATTTTTCTTTGTCTTCTATGGAGTCAAGGATATTGATATAATAAAAAGTTATCAATAACAACTCTTAATAATCATATTGAATCTTTAAGTAAGCAGCCACAGATAAGGCTAAGGGAGATGTATGAAAATACTTAAAGGGATTTTTTTTTCATCCTTCTTACATTGTGTGTGAGGCAAGGTATATTGGCCTCAAATTTAAATATGAATGAGAATATAAAATTTAGTTGAAGTCTTTATGTTTTATTACATTGTGGAAAATAAAATAGATTTCTTAAATTGGAAATGAAAAATCATGACAACCTGTCAAGGAAATGTGAAAGCAATGAATAGGCAAATACTAGCCTTGAGAACCAGTCCTAAAATTTTAGCTTATAATAAATTGGATTTTAAGCAACTGGTTAGTTAATATGACTGACTGTTGGTTTCCTTGATTTTAAATCCAGTAATTAGAATGTATGATCTAGAATATGTAGTTCTCTAGTTGGGTTAAATATCATAAACTCTACTTTTTATTATATGACATAATTTAAATTCTTACTCTAACAAAAGTGATATCTATAGCTATCCAACATACATCTATTGAGTGAAATAAAATTCTGTATCCTAAGCTTTATTAATTATTTCTTGGGATCTTGATGGCAAGTTATCTAGATATCAACCTTCACATAAGTATAGAACTTTTAGACTATACCTGATCATCATGCTACCATTAAAAATCAGTTGATTCTAGGTACCAATCATTGTGTATCAAAACATATGGTTAGAATACAGGTTTCCAATAAAAAAGATGAGGAAAAAAGTTCAGTTGAAGATGTTTTAGTATAATCATTGTTAAAGTATCATAAATGATCAAGACACTGATTTAAATTCTAAAGAAATTTTGCAAAGCAGCTCTTCCAACTCATGGCTTTCTTCCTTAATTGGGTGGGCATATTCTAGGCACAAATAATTCTAGTATGAAAAGATTGTATAATGTAATGTGAGTGTCAAGGAAAAATATCCATTTTAATACATGTGTTTGAGAACACATAGTGTTATCTTAAGCTAATGAAGGCATGTTTTTGATGTGGTCATTAAAAGTTTAGTAAAATATAATCAAGTATATTATTCAGTGATGGACAGGATCTATAAAAATTGATTGAATGGAAACCAATGGTATTTTGGTAGATCTCATGTCAGAATCCTTTTAGAAGTCTGCTCTGTAGGTTTAGTCGTTAAAAATCAGCACTATCTGGGCATGGCGGCACATGCCTTTAATCTCAGCACTCAGGAGGCAGAGGCAGGTGGATCACTGTGAGTTCAAGACCAGCCTGGTCTACATAGTGAGTTCCAGGATAGCTGGGGCTACAGGGAGACCCTGTTTCAAAAACACCAAAAAAAATCATCAATAAACTTATGCACCTAATGACAATAAAGCCTATGTTTATTACCCATCTTGATAACAGTTGTTGAACTCAAAAAGGGGAAGACAACTGAAGTTTGGAAATGTAAAATTGTAGTACCATATTATCTGTTAGGACATAAAGTGTTGCTGCTGTGAAATGGAATATGTTGCTTCTAAAATAGTCTGCCAACACAGAACATTCCATGCAATGGCTGGATTACCATGTTCAAGGAGCATAGTAGAAAGGATTCCAACATTGTTGAAAACATCAGAGTGAACATCTTCATCCTCATAGATCTGAATATCTGTGGAGTATGAGTTTAATGAAAAGATACATACACTGACAATTTCATTATATATCGATAAGCTCTTTGAAGACGTACCAATTTGTACATAGACTGTGATTATTTAGGAAACATTTTTGTAATATATCCATATATCTTTAAGTATTTTCCCACACATTTTAGTTTCTTATTTTCTTGTTTGTTCCTGTGTATGTATTTGTGTGTCTGTGGGTATATCTTTATTACAGTGTATTATATAGGGAACAGGTGTACAGGCAAACTGCAGCTATTTGACATGAAGTTGCTCATTTAATAAAACTGTATACTCTTCTAACAGATTTTAATTGCATTATCCTTTTTAATATTTCAGATCAGCAAAGCCAGTGTTCCCTCTTGGAAAATGACCTTGCTAAATGTTTGTAGCCTTATAAACAACCTGAACAGCCCAGCTGAGGAAGCGGGAGAGATGCATGAAGATGAGCTCGTTGCAAGAAGGAAGCTTCCTATTGTTTTAGATGGCTTTAGCTTGGAAGCAATGCTGACCATATTCCAGCTCCAAAAAATCTGTCACAGCAGAGCCTTTCAACACTGGGAGGTACAACAGAAACCGAAGATGAGCATGCTTGCTATTGCACTAGTTAGCTGCCATTTGCTCTGTTTTCTATCCTGATCATTTTGTAGCAGGGAGACGTAAAAATATCAGAAAGTAATAAGCCATTGTTTTGAAGACCACACCCCTTCATAGCTTCAAAGTGTCCTTCAAATATTTGCAATTTGACAAAATATGTTTTTCTTTAATCTTAAAAGAGTGACCTATCTCAAGGTAGAAGTAATCATATGCTTAAATAGAAGGCATAAAGAGGCAAATTTTAGGCATTGCTGCTGGTAGTAACAATATGTGATAACAAATTTAAGGAATTACTTTTCTTTGCTAAAATAAAAAGATAATGTGGACTCATCTATAAAAAACACAATACAAAATTTATAATAGAATAGGAACAAAATTCAAAAGCACTAGTTAGCAATGGCAGGTTAGCATGTACATCTAAATTGTGTCAGAGCTTCTGCATTTGATTAATATGTAGGTAAAGTATTTCTTAATTTATAGACTAACAGGATTAGGTATAGGAATATACAGCGGGCCTTTGTAGTCTGTGTTCATATAGATAAGCTCACATAACTTTGCATTTAGCTATATTCCATAAGTATAGTCTAGCACTGGTTGTCAATTACATTTTCTGAAACAGATATTGTCAGCACTTTTCCTTTTTGGACACACACCTTAAATTCTGGCAGATAAGATACCATCCCCTGGAAACAGCCAAATTGTGTTCAGTTCTCCAGACTCTAGCTATAAATTCAATACCATCATCTTTCCTGCTGATGAAATAAGCAAGAAAGATGGAATTAAAGGAGTGAATTTAACAGTGCTTTGAAGTAATTTTTGATGTATTTATTTAGATACTTAGGTTTCTTAGGACAATGTCTTGCTGTATAGCTATGGTGGGCCCGAAACTCACTATATAACCAGGAGTGACCTCAAACTTGTAGCAATCTTCTTGTCTCTGCCCACCCCCACCATACCACTAGTTTTACAGGCACTACTACCCCTGGATGATCTAGCTCTCAGGGGGAAAAGAACCTACAAAGTTTAGTAATGTCACAATTATTAAAATAATATTCTTGAAAACCACTTCATTGTTGATTTCCTTGGCAAACATTGAACTCAAAGATAAATTATAAGTTTAGAAAGAAGTGGAACATTTTTGTATGTAAAGGGAAGAAGCATGGAAACTAAATGAAAGCTTATGAAAAAGAAAAGGAAGAATATCATTACATTTCCCCAACTGGAGAAACATTTTTTTTTTTCTCAGATTTAGCTCTGGGAAGTTTGCTTAATATTTTATATTCCAGGCTTACACCAATATTATTGGTCTGAGGGTGCCCTCCCTAATAATATAGGAAACTTGTGACGGAGGCCACAGAGATACCCCCTGGAAAGGAGAAAGTGCAAGCATAACCACCAGTGTTTGTATTATCTGGTAAACAAAAAGAGGCTTTCCAGATGAAAAATGCAAAAGGCTTGTTTAATTTGACTTGCTGTACTTTTCTTCCTTTAATTTGAATTACAGCTAAATGGTACAGTCTTTAAAACACTGTTTAGGTCAATAAAACTTGAAAATACAAATCCTAACAGAGAAAAATGTCAATTATGTATTATTTATCCAGAAAAGACCCTCAATGAACTAATTTGCAGATAAGTCACATGCATAGAAGACTGGAACTCTTGCTAATTTAACTCTTGAGTGATTTAAAAATAAAATGATAATATCATTGTGAGCATAGCACAAGTAATTACAGACTATGCACAAAGAAACTAAAGATTAAAAGACTAGATTGGCTGACAGTAGCTACTTTTCCTTTTCTGAAATTGAATAGCTGTGGGTTGGAATAAAATACTCTGTGATAAGGCAGTATGCATGTGCATTATAATTTAAATGTCAGTATTCCTTATCTTGACCTCAAAGTTTAAAAGAGAGCCATAGTCTAAAGAGATCTTAGCCATTTAAACTGGCTTTTCACATTTGTTCTTATGTGTTCTTACAGTGATTCGGAGCAGGCATTCCACTCTCTCTGATTAGGAAGGAGGTGTAGGAATGACTTCCAAGTCAAGTCAGTAATTGACTTAAAGTAACATAAAATCCAGTTGCCTTTTTATTCAAATGGCATTCCAGATTCAAAACTATATTTATAGTGATATATTTCATATCATTTTTGGTTGCCCATTATCAATTCAAAGTATGAGAAATAATTTTAAGGTCTACTTCATGCTGTCCTACAATTAGAAAATGTGACGACATTCCTTGAAAGAGTGAGGCTGATCTGGGAAGGACACCGAACAATCAGAGCGGTCTTGTTCTGACGTCAGCCCAGCCACTGACAACCATCTGTCACGTGGCAAAGATTTTTTGATCCTACAGGTGCATTTTTGTTCCAACGGTAAACAGGATAAAATGTAGGAAGACGATCTGAAATAGATTTCATGCAAGTTTCATTTGTGTTTCCTCTATTTCAGATAATTCAGGAAGATATCCTTGATAATGGCAATGACAAAACCGAGAAGGAAGAAGTGATAAAGAGAAAAATTCCTTATATTCTGAAAAGGCAGCTGTATGAGAATAAGCCCAGGCGCCCCTACATCCTCAAAAGAGCCTCATACTACTACTAAGAAGATATTTTACTAACACGATATTGTGATTAATCATCCTTTAACTAGATATCTAATTATATGTATGTGAAATGTGACTGAACCTTCTTATTTTGCCTCTTCTATAATTGTTTCTTGGATGTGATTTTTCTGCATTCATGCAAATTGTGCTAATTCTTTTCAAATAAATGTAGATCTTGAGCATGATGTGTTATGCATAATTGGAATACATATTAATCATGTCACATAGAGAATGCTTTGTAATTTTGCAAGGCACAGTAAGGATTACTTGAGTAGTCATCATATTTGAAATTTTATATGAAATTATAAGAGCTTACAACAAAGTCTAGCATAATTTATTACTATTATTAACCCAAAGGAGAAGAGCGGCACCTCTTCTATTATGTGATTGTTTTATTTAATTGAGAGAAATGCACATACTTTCTCAATAATTACTGATACATCTTTCAGCTATAAGGAAAATTGTTGTTATAGTAACAGGACCATCCGAAAGAATGATTAATGAAATATTGCTAATTATGCTTATTTTAGTGAATATCTTTAAATTAATTTTTGTCTGTCAAGTAAATTTCATAGCTAATAAAAATCAATAGACTTCACAATCAAGTCCTTTACTGACAATTTAATTATTTAACAAAATATGTTTTGGGGTTTTTAATCACCTTTTTCAGTTTCAATTCAGGAAATTATAAGTTTTTTTTTTTTAACTTTACTGAGGGTATTTTTGTGATTGATAATTTTTCCAAATTGGGAAGGTTAATTTTAGCTGAAAGCTACATGTTCAATATTTTTTCATTAATTTTCCTTTAAAATAATACATATAGTCCGTAAACTGTTGTAACTTTTTTTTAACTGTTACAAAAACTTTATTGAGAATGTCATACACGCATATAAGGTGTTTTGATAAAATCCACGCCCCCTCCCTCCCCCCAACACTGCCCAAGTCTCCTCATCACTTTTTTCTTTCTCTTTTTCTTTTTTCTTCTTTCATTTATCTATTTTTATGGGGGTTTTGGATGCTCTAACATCCCCTCTCTGAAGAAGTAACCCTAAAATCTTTTAAGGATTAGATACAAGCTCCAAAATACTTTCAACGTTTTTGGCCTTTGGGACAGAGTATGTTGCTAACAGGCTCAAGGACATTGCGACTTTTAGACAAGAAACTGCCTACTTTCCTTTGGGGCCATTTTACGCTCACTGCCTAGCCAATTCCTACCTCCTATCTTATCACACCATCCTCTGAAAGGGTTACCCAAATTGCCAATAGTGAATAGAGACACAGACTGCTATGGCTTCTTCCATGCTGAACAGGGATGCAGGGTGTGGCAATTGGAGTACTCCTTCAGTGGGTCTACCTAAAAGACTCCCAAATTGCATAAGGGGAGAAGAAAGTCCCTGAATCATGAATAGGAGATGTGAAGGGGAAGTAAAGGCAAGAGTAATTAGCATTACAAGTTCTAAACAGGGAACTAGAAAAAAGTCAGAACAGGGCAATTTTCAAATGTTCATATGAGAGTCCATTGGAATTTCTTGACAAGAACTTCCAAAAGCATCGCTCTATTGGGTTCTTCTTTTTTCTTCCAAGGCTGGACTCTAGAGTGATGGATTCAGGATTTGCATTCAAGTATTTTGATAGCTGTTGGAGTGGTTAGAATCGGTGTCAGTTCCCTCTCAAAGGCTTCTGAAATAGGTGGAGAAAACATATTTAATCATCATTTTAGCATAATAGCAGGTTGTCTCCCTTAGCTACAGGTGGGCACTACAATATTGGAGACCAGGATTTGAAATCTTACATCTGAGCGGCACTTTCTGGTTAGGAACAAAATCATTAATGAGAAATAATTGCCGAAACAGCTTTTTATATGGACTTTAGCCTAATGTCTGGTAAGTGTAATCCCTTGAACTCTTAAAGAAGTATATTTCTGAGTTTACTTTTTGGTTATACTTTCCTTTTGGGTGTTTAAGACCATACATTTGACCCCCCAAAATAAATTGATTTCTACACTTAAGGTCATTTGAGGATCTGTTCCTTGGGGGTCACATGGGCTTGGGAGGATCTCCTGGCTCCTTTCTTTTACCAGTTCCACCTATGTGAAGATAAATCAAAGGTCCTGTCAAAGGTCTGGCTTCACTTGGAAGTATGAATGAGATGTTTCCTCTAAGTTGACCCTCCTCTTTGTAGTCTAGACACTGGTTCAAGTCCATTGAGTGGGGTGTCCATGTCCTCCCTGAACAAGAGGACAGGTTACTCACCACAGTTACAGGACATATTGAGAGATGCTCCATAGTTCCCCGGAAATTGTTTGATCTTAGAGGGCAAGGAGCAAAAACTGTCCTTTGAGTCCCTCTGACCACATTAATATAGGTCTTAAAATACGGCTGTTAAACATCCAATAAGGTTAGTTCTACCAGTCTGTGTTAGGGTTCCAAACAGCAGCAGCTTCCCCTCCTCCCCAACAGGGACCTACAGACTTTGGAGCCTGGAAAAGGGAACTTAGCTGATAAGCACCTTGACCTTTGAGGTTAAGAAGAACAAACTCTGCTGAGAAGCAGCCTGCCTTTCCTCTGACCTCCAAAGATAGGATAAGCAGATTCTACCTGATAACCAGAGATTTTAGAAGCTGTTTTTCTCTTATCTTAAGAGGGAAAAAGTAAACACTTCCAGACCCTAATCCTACCTGCTTCCCCCTCCCTGATTCCACACCC